ATTCCGTATCATTTATGCATTCTTTCAATGCCATTCTAGCTGGCCTAAGCAGTCATCTCGTTTGCTGGTTACAAAAATATTCTTTGGTATAAAAAATAAAAAACGCAAAATAGTCACTGTGATCAGTAAAGGATGCTTATATACATTTACTGACTTATATCTCAAGTTTAATCATTAACAACATCCATATTATGGTAACAAAACAGGACCTGAATAAAAAGAAAAAGAGATCCACGATCATACATAACATCATTTAATGGTTCAGATACAATCAGAATTTCCGTCTGGCGCTCATATGACCTTATGCAGTTGCGAGCGCCGTAAAATCTCTACTAAAACAAAGAATTTCCGTTCATAACAAATTTTAATCCAATGGGTCTTCAAAACGGCATTATTAGTAAAAGTGAGTAGAGAAGGGATTGTCTAAGACAGGCGGACGCCTTACACAGTATCATTATGAATAATAATGTAAAAAAAAAAATTCAGTGGAGGAAATGAGAAGTGGCGGTTTGTACAGGTGATTGTCTTATAGGGTGGCCGTTAGAGCATGTTTGACTGTACTTAAAACTGATCATTTTTTTCAGGAATTTTTCATCAATGCACCACAAAAGGGCAACCAAGTTCACAGATGTGCACAAAAAGATAAACCAGCAGGGAAAGTAATAATCCTTGGTTTATCTCTTAATTGCTTTTCCTGGTGCACCGGAACTGAGAGAGCCTTGCTCTTTGGTGATGAAACAGGTTTTACGTCGGAAGAGTCTTTTCCACGTCAGAAAACACATACACAACACCAAAAGCTCTTCCATTCTTTCATAGAAATTTCCTTCCATGCATATCACTTTCACTATAACCAACTCCTAAGGTTGCCCGTTTAACATAACAATACTTGCACTTCATACTTCTAGGGCAGAGTACGTCTGACGGCTCCACAGCACAGAGGCTTGAGTACAATAAGATTATTCGGAATTAGCTGGTGAATGTGCACGGACTGGTTGACGTTCTGCTCTTTTGTGTCTATGTTTTTAGTTCATTTCACTCAGATTTCCTAGATTTAGGGTCTTGTGCGGTTGCTGATTTGCCAGGCCAAATTGTAGGTTGTTGTTGCGTCTGTGGTCTAGGGGTTAGGCAAACGAACTCGTAATAGTGAGGTCGCTGGTACGGGCGTTTGAATCTCAGGCCCGATGTTGTGTCTTTGGGAAAGGCACTTTACACGAATTTTCTTCCCTTCACCCATGTGTAAATGGGTACCCGGCCATAGACGGCAAAAGATCTTGTCAGTATGTTAGTGTTTTAAGGACTGTAAAATGGCAGCTTGCACTGTATGCTTTAAAGGAAGTTGAGATTGTTTCAGAATGCTACCAGAGCTGTTGGGGTTATGATAATAATATAGATCGCAAAGCGCATACTGGTTGCTGTTGAGCGGGAATTTGCGCAGTACAAATGCTATCTATTATACTTGTGGCTTGGGTGCATTCTGTATGGCCCCACGCGCTCTAGAAACTTGTCTACTGGTCACACCTCTGCGAGGATGCAAATTTGGCAAATTTCACCGGTTCGTCTCTCTTCAGAGCCAAGATGTCATACTTTGTAGCCATGGGACGAGCGGACGTTTTCCTTGTGTCCTCTGGGGCTTTGTTTTGCTATGTGGTACAATGTGACCTATTGCTGCAGAAACCCCAGCATTGCAGACGGGTTCTTAAAACTGTTAAAAGAACTTGAGGCTAACTCACCACTTTGATGCGGTCAAAAAATCGTGGTGTAACTTATTGTTAAATTATATTTCCGCAGCTATCAAATTATGTAGTAAATTCTCCAGCTTTTGCACAGATCAATAATATTAATTTCGTAAACACCTGTTAGCTATAATCTAGAAAATTCCTTAACTAATTTTTTTTTTAAACTCTCAGCGGGTGGTTTCTGTGAATTTTATTGAAAGGTAACCATCTATAATATATTCTCTGAAGACCTAGGTTTTGCATCAGAAGAAGAAGAATGTAGACAACATGACATAAAAGCAATCCATTTTGTAAATCTTATTATTATGACAGCTTATGGCGAATATAAGAAAGCGACAGGCAAGTTTATTCGGACACACAATGCGGAAAGAAGCATTGGAGAATATTGTAACAACAGGCAAGTTTAATGGACAGAGCAGAGAGGCAGAGGCTGACAGAGGGAAAAGATACTGGACAAGATGACAACATGGCGAGGAGCAGCAAGAACAACAGACACTATTGCTGCAACGCAAGACAGAGTGAAGTGGGGGTTCATGGTCGCCAACGCCAGTCTGCAAGGCACCGGATGATGATAATGATTATGAAATTGAGCTTTTTCTTAACAAACTCAGTTACTCACTTCGCCTCCCTCCGCCCCTCCCCAACCCCACCTGGGAAAAACAAACAATACCTCATATTATTATATAGGCCTTTCTCTATTCATTTGTAGTCCATATATTAAAGTGCATTTATGTTTCCCACAATCGGTCAGCAGGTGCAGTATTGTGTAGGCTTATGCGTGTATGTTATATGGTTAAACAACAACAGCAAACAAGAAGAAAACTTGAAATAAAACGGAACTGAGCTTCAAACAATACTTAAGCGTTGAGAAGGACGCGCGGTGTGACACCGCTGTTTCTGATCCTCTCAAAAATGGCGACAAACCAAGCTGAGTGTATAATTTACAGTCTCTGGTCCGCACAGCCATAGTGAATTTACGGGGGTGACGTCAGAGTTGCGACCTCTATAATATTATGTGGGTAAAAAAATCAGATTCGGACATTGGAGATTGCCTTGATAGTAATGATAGTAATATTAGGCTAGTGAGACAAATTTGTGGGCCTTCGGCATATCAATATTGTGGTAGGGTGGCCAGTTCCTTTCCACGCCGCCTTTACTTCCCCAACTCAAGGGCGTATAGTATTTTATATAAATTAAGAACAAGTTGGTTTTTTTTTTTAATTTAGGCTAAATTGTTGTGAATATGATTAGATCTAAGTTAAGACCAATTGATACAAACTGCTGTGCAACGTATGCGTGACATCCATTCACCCAATAAATAGATTTTATTATTAATTGAAGTATAATTTGCGCCACGAATTTTTGACCCGCAGAGGAATTTTTTTTTTTTTCATCTCGTGAGAGTAGTTTAGTTTTAGTAGAGGTTTTACGGCGCTCGCAACTGCATAAGGTCATATGAGAGCCAGCAGATTAGAGGTGTTACAAGAGAGTAACAAACATAAAAAAGAAGAAGGGGAGAATTTAAAAGGACGATAGATGTTAGATAGGAAAGAAGGAGCAAACCACACCAGAGCACCCACCAACCACCCACTCGTGAGAGTAGAACGTGTAAATATTGCGCACTGAAATCTTGACACAAGGCTATTTTTGTACCCCATTAACAAGTTAGAGACGAGTTTTCATATGTAGCCTAGGCTGGGGAATTTAAACTGTCTTTTGCCCACATCATGATTGTTTTTCCTTGATATTTGTTTTTTTTTTTCTCTGCGTTGTGTATCTATCTAACCCTAAAGGTCTTGTAATTAAATTCCCGCATGTGGTTGAATGATGCATCCGATGTGATATGTACATTTTGTCAGCGTTACTTCTCTTTTCATATTAAATTTTAATGAGAGTTTAGAGCTATAATTTAAATGTGTATATATGTTTTACGGTCCTGAACAACCAAGAAAAATTTTCCTCTGAGATAGTATTATATTATCTTATCTACCTCTTCCCCTTCCCTTTACCCAGCTTGTGACGCTTGCTTTTTTTTTTTTTAAATAAAAATTAAATAACTGTCACTGAAACTATGCAGTTCGATCATGAAGGGGGCGTCAGATAGGCCTAATATTTCATGAAGCATGGTTCCCATACATAATTATAAAGAGAAGAAGTTGACTTTTCTTGACTGGGCAGCTTTGCCTTGTCTTGAGTGTGCTTTTGTGTAGGTAGGTGTTGTGACTTTGCCCCCTCCATTTATTGTTCTCACGAGTGTAACGTTTTTACAACTTAATTAAACTTCAAGCATTTCATCGATCAAGACAAAAATCAGAGCTCCAATTTGTTAAAATTTGAACAGGTCAAATAAAAGTTTGTACTCATGCTTTTCCTTGGTTTGGCTAAAACTGCTGGGATAAAATCAGATCTCGGACATAATACTGTTTCTTTAGTAAAAAAGATAATGGAAGGAAGTTCCAGAATAGGTTACAAACTTAGGCCCTCTATTAGTGATGAGAGGTCAGGTATGAAGCGGGGAGCATCTTAAATTAGAGAATGTTATATTATCATTAGGTGTGTGTGTGTGTGTGTGTGTGTGTGTGTGTGTGAGTGTGTGTGTGTGTGTGTGTGTGCGCGCGCGCGCGCGCGCGCGTGTGTGTGTGTGTGTGTGTGTGTGTGTGTGGGTGTGCATATAGGTGTACACGAAGGCCAATTTGATTGTGTACGTGTCTTCGTTAGTGTTTGTGACCAACGATTACTAGATTTATCCCACAGAAACTCCTACCACACACCTTTTAGAGTATCTGTGAGCGAGGGTGAAGTTTGTTAGAAGAGGACATTTTCCTCTGCTAATTCCGTTTTTGCGTTTATTCTTTGTTTGATGCAAGCACGCTCACACACGAATCCTGAGACGAACAAGTACACGAAAACACAGATACACGTGTACGCTCTCTCTCTCTCTCTCTCTCTCTCTCTCTCTCTCTCTCTCACACACACACACACACACACACACACACACACACACTCACACACACACACAATATGGGCTAAGGGTTAGCCTACCTCACTGGATAACAATGAAATACAACTTTTCCTTCAGCGCAGCGTCTCTTAGAAAAAGTAACTTTAAAACGTAAATGGGTATACACGTAGTATAAGGGAAATAACAACACATATAATTTTTGATTTCTTTATACGAGTTCATTTTTCTTAGGAGGTCTTCAAGGGACGCTACTCTAAAATAACGCTGAAAGTGATTCTTCAACAACAAAAAGTCAAATAACGTACAAATGTGTCCTCAGTTTCCCTGACGTAGTTCGCAGTCTTATTCATTTGGCGCTGGAAATCAGCGATTTCTCTAATCTTTTTCAGGAATATGCCTCCAAAGCCTAAGTTCCAGGAGGGTATGTTTTCGTGTTCCTCGTTTTAAGAACGTAAAAGATACCCTGAAGCATTCTGTTGTCTTTTACCAACTCTACTTTTTTGAAAATTTAGTATTGTTGATGCAGGTTTTCCGCTCGGCACAGGCCAGCCACCGGGGCCGGGGACGCGGGGTCGCTAGATATCTAGATATCTGCACCACAGGCTAGATCTAGATCTAGAATCTAGATTTAGATTCTACACTTCACTGTTTATGACCTGTTTCCTGTCTGCCTCATGAATCAGTTGAGTGGGTCACTCTACTAGATTCTAGATCTAGATCTTGGTCAAGAGATCGAAATAGACTAGATATCTAGTCTAGATCTACTTGCTCATTCTTCATTTCATGTAAGGAAGTGGCTATTCTCATCCGGGGTGAGAATAGAAAAACGATCTACCTCTCACCCCGGGTGAGACTTGCCAGCGTAGGCTATTCTCACCCGGTGCGAAACAAGACCTGCTTTTCCTCATTTTGGAATACTGTCTATCGGTGTGGATGATCAAATTGATAAAAGCCAAGAAAAAATTACGTTATAGCACAAAAGTAAGCTAATTTGATCGTCTTTAAAGATTCTATGGCTATTTCACTGTTCGAATCGAGCCGAACTACGCGGGTCGCCATTTTGTTTTGCCCGGAAGTTCTCGCAAGATCTACTCCTCCCCTCTCTCTCTCTCTCTCTCTCTGTCTCTTTCTGAATACTGTCTATCGGTGTGGACGATCAAATTGACCAAAACAAAGTTAAAAAATGATGTTAAAACACAAAAGTAAATTAATTTGGTTGTCTACAAAGATGCTACGGCTATTTAACTTTTCGAATCGAGCCGAACTACGCGGGTCGCCATTTTGTTTTTACCGGAAGTTCTCACGCTACTCCTCTCTCTGTCTCTTTCTCTCTCTCTCTCTCTCCACTGCCCACATACAAAATTGTACGCTTTTACTTTTAGTAGGCTACAGTTGTAATGGAATGTTTGTTCACGGCACAGAATTCTACAATTTTTCTGTTATCACAGTGTAGAATTCTGTGGTTTAGGGTGAACGCAAAATTTGTTGGCCTAGATCTAGGCTATAGTTCAGTGAACGCGCACCAGGTGAGAATAGCCAAAAGACTAGCCTGCACTATTCTCATCCCGGGTGAGAATAGAGGTGGCCTTCATGTAATATATCTAGATCTAGAGTCTAGATATAATCTAGATCTAGATCTAGAATCTAGATATAGATCTAGACTAGATCTAGTTGGGCCACCTCTTTTTTTCTCACCCCGGGTGAGTCGTGAGAATAGCGCAGGCGAGCCTTTTTTTGGCCATTCTCACCCGGTGTGCCTTCATGGTGATAGGCCAACCAGTGTAGGCCTAGCTAGTCCCTAGAGTTCACCGTGAACAAACATTCCAGCGCTCTTGTGTTGAAAGCGTGCAATGTTATTTTATTTTGTCTGTGGGCAGTGAGAGCAGAGAAAGAAAGAGAGAGAGAGGAGGGGGGGGGGGGGGGGGGGGGGGAGTAGCGCAAGGACTTCCAGGCAGAACAAAATGGATGGTTAAATAGCCGTAGCATCTTTGTAGACCAAATTAATCTACTTTTTTGTGTTTTAACATCATTTTTTATCTTTGTATTTGTCAATTTGAATTTTGATCGTCCACACGGATAGACAGTACATCATTGTATTCAGAGAGACAGCGAGATAGAGGAGTCTTGCGAGAACTGCCGGGCAAAACAAAATGGAGACCCGCATAGTTCGGCTCGATTCGAAAAGTGAAATAGCCATCATAGTGCTGCCATAACGTAACTTGTGCTATAACGTCATTTTGTCTTCGTTTTTTTGTCTATTTAATCATCCACACCGATACAGTATTTCCAAAATTAGGAAAAACAGGTCTTGTTTCACACCGGGTGTGAATAGCCATCGCTGGCAAGTCTCACCCGGGGTGAGAGGTCGATCGTATTTTTATTCTCACCCAGGGTTGGGATAGCCACTGAATGTTATCCTGGCTTTAAAATACAAAGTGACTATTTCACCGAACGTTTGGGAAAATAAAGTTGAACTCTAGATTATTTCTCCGAACGGTTTTCGATCTCGGGATTTTTTGGTTATTTGGAGATTTAGGCGTCCTCCTTTCATTCTGCCATTCTGCAAGGACTGGGAAGAAGCATCTCAATAAATTTCTAGAGCTAGAGATTTTTAAATGTCTGAATATTCAAATACTTCAGTTTTGGTTGGGGCAACGTTCCCGAACCATACTTCATTTGAAAATTCCTTCAAAAGATACTGCGAGAAAACAAGACTGCTCGACCTTGGCAGTGACCTATTTTGCATTTAGTCACCCAGCAATCTAAAATCCTTCATGTAACAAGAGAAAAAATCCCCCCCCCCCGAGATAAATGAAAAGTCTAGGGGGTTACAGTTGGTCTTGCCCTAATAAGTTTTTCCCCATAAATTGATGTTTTGCAATTGAAATTAAGTGATTTGCGACAGTTTTGGTCGTGTTAGATCTGCAGCAAAAATTTCTGCAGTTTGACTTTGAAAGCAATGCATCTCTGTGTGTTGGATTAAAAGGAAAAATTTACCCCCAAAGAGTCGTAAAACCGTTGCATATCTTTTCTGAAAGATGATAGAATCATTAAGAAGAAATGGTAAAAAAAAAAAAAGATCAAGCAAAGCGCAAAAACAGCACTTCCCGATTCAAGAAGGTCAGCCCTATAAAAAGGGCTGCTGTGCTTTTAGGGTTAAAGTTACTTTCCATTATATAACTCTGGTTTGGAGTCAGACCTGAGATTGTCAAGAAAATAACCTCATTCATCATAGGTTTGTAAAATTTCAAATTCCCGATTGCTGCTGCATGTCGTGAACGGGACATCGCGTGCAGTGCTATCGTGGGACAAGGGTACGTAGAGAATGAGAGAAGATCATGATGAAAGTCAATCTTGAAACTTGGCTGGTTCAATCCTACACCCAATTCGTCTGCTACTTAAGATTTTTTTTTTTTTGAGTTAGGAGACCCGTGACGATTTAAAAATCATCTGCAATGTGTATAATATATATTATATTTGTAATTACCCTGTTTTCTTTTATATATATTTCTTTAAACTCTTTTTTTCTCTTTTTTTTCTCATTGTGTCTTTTCTTTACCATTGAAGTGTACACAGCCTGAGGGACATGGTGGGATTTCACTTGAAATTTTTTTTCTGTTTTTGCTGTATTATAATGTCAGATAAAAATTATAATTATCACTAACCTGTAGGGTGTGGTAAAATGGGAAGTGGAAGCTGGCCAGTGGTTAAAAACGGGTTTCTCTCGAGGCTGTCTCATGAAGTGAGTGTACAGCACATTATACTAGAAAATCATCAAAATGTTACTGATTTGATAATTTTCATCTTTTTGTTGCCTCTTTGCTCTATTTTCAAATTTAATTTTTCAGGTGAAAAGGTACTTTGCTATCATGGCCCTCTCTTGTATGAGGCTAAGGTGAGATTCTTTTCTTTTTCTAATGAGAATAACAGTATGTATTGGGCTCTTGTTGAGCAAGACTTCTTGAGACTTAAAAAAATATTGTCTATGTATTCGTCAACTCAGCTAGTAGCTCTGTTTTTCTAGATGAGTTGGGCACATTTTTCACAAGTTTAAGTTCAAATTGTGATCTTGTATTCATCAACCATGTTTATAATATATAATATTGTTTTCCACTTTGTATTTTTTGTCTACTGGGTGTCGGAATGTTTTTTTGTGCTTTCCTTTACATTTTTTGTCGTTGTCTGGCAAAATAGTTTTTTTTTGGTGTTTTTTTTGCTAAGTTGAGTTGTTAGAACTGTTTCTTTCATCATGTCAATAAAACCTACAACGTAATGAAGTAATGCTAACATTATTTTTATTGTCCCTTCAAGCACTATGTATATATAAAATGTGTGATAGTTAAATCTTGCCTCTTTGTGCCATCACAATTGTACCTTCATTTTGTCTCTACACAGTGCATGCGTGTGGAGACTCGAGAGGGTAAAGTGCAGTACATGATTCATTATAATGGATGGAACAAGAAGTAAGTGCCATTGTTTGATTTTTCTATTTAATTTGATTTGGTGTGTCATTTCTTTCCGCTCGGTTTTTGTTTCTTTAGGGTTAAGGAGTATTCTAAAACTATAATGTTAGATGTTAGATTAATTTACATTCTATTCTTCCTTGAAAAGTTATAAGATATGAAAACTCACACTTACCATTACAAACTCCTGTTTTTGTTAGTCTCAGCAGCATGTATGGTAGTGAACTTATTAATCGCATTATTTCAAGATATAGCTACCTTGAATAATTATTATGACAGTTATAGGTGTTGACCGATCATGCATTGCATGAATGAAGTGGTACTGTTGTTGTTGCTGATTTATACTATACCCTGTGAATGTTTTTCTCAGGTAAAGAAGCAGTCATTCGGCACTTATATGACCTTATTGTGTTGCAAGTGCCGTAAAACTCTTACTAAAACTAAAACTAAAACAGCAGCCTATAGTAGGCTCTCTATTGGAGAATTTGAAATATACCTCTTGTGGTTGTGTTGTGCACTCAAGTGGGTTTTTACCTCACTCCTATTTTGTGCTGTTGTCCTCATATATATATCAGGTGAAATGAGATCAATGTAATCTATAAAACTGCTTTTGAATTTAAAAAATTTTACCTTTCACTTTCATTAGAATGTTGGTAATTTCACTTCCTACCACCTTATTTGGTTTTTATTTTGCACTTAGTTCTCATCTGCTCACAGAAAACATTCAGTGTCTGTATAGTTTTTTCATTTGTGCTCTCTCTTTGCAGCTGGGATGAATGGGTGCAAGAAAGTAGAGTTGTGAAGAACAATGAAGCTGGTGTACAAAAGCAGAGAGAACTGTTGAAAAATCATGGGTATGTGAGTTGGTTTTTGTTGTTTAATATGTGTGTGGATTTTAATTTTACTTTGTTTTCCATGTATTTCTCTCCTCCTTGACTTGATTGAGTTTGGGATTATAAACATTACTGTGACTTTGATGTCTTTTGTTTGTTTCTGTAAATTTCTTAGTTTGCCCCCCACTAGGGCAGTGCTACTAACTGAAGTGTCTTTAGGCCATTCCCAAACGGGGGGTATTAACATGTTCTTATGCACAATAGAATTGTAGATGGGCTGATTTATCAATGTCATGCTCTTCCTGTGCCGAAACAACAGTGGGGAACTGCTGGTTTTTCTTTCCTCATCCTTACTATCGTCATTTTTCCTCTTCTTCTTTTGTATGTCAGTCTCTTGTGAACTGCTTTTTCCGGGGTGCCTTGATAGTCGAAACAGACATTGTGCTGTTGAGGCTTGAGAGGTGAACAGAGTAAGCCTGATTCCCCGTTTGGACCTTTCTGTTGGCATCCACCCCTTGGCGCTCATTTGACCTTATGAAGTTTCGAGCGCTGTAAAACCTTACGAAAACTAAACTAAAATTTCTTAGTTGGCTATGTTTTTGGTTTTTGATTTTTTGTTATTTAAAAATTTTTTGGGTGGGGGGTTGGGTCAAGATTCTCATCTTTCTGATGTTTTCACTACCTTTGAAATATCATCAGGAGGCTGCAAAATCACTTGCAACAGTATTATCAGATCCTGTGAGAGAAGTAAAAAAAAGAAAAGAAAATGTGCTGTTGGTGAATAATCATTTGGTTAGTTTAACTAATAAAATGTTATTTTTATTTTGTGAAAGCATGTATCTAGCGTTAAATAGTTAACTATATTTTACAATTTTTCACCACTAAACTAAGTGTTCTAAATTTGTATCCTTATTTTTATATTTCAAAATGTTTTTGACATTGTAGAAAATATACTCACACATGATTATATTTCAACTGGTGTTTCAGTAACCATTTCATTTGTTTATATTTTATATATATATGAAGTGATTTGCAACACTGACGCAGTGTTCTTATTTCTATCCCCTGTTATATAGGGCTCTGACAAAGAAAACAAAAACGGCCAAGAAACTGGAGAAAGAACTCTTAAAACAACAAAAGAATCAGAAAGAGAAGGCGGCCGCTAAAGAAACACCAAAGGAGAAAGAGAAAGCAACAGTCAAAGAGAAGCAATCAAACAGAGAGAAGGAGAAAAAGGAGAAAGAGGCAAAAGAGAGACCTGCCACCCCACAGCCCTCTGCAGGAGACAAAAGGAAGGACAGAGGAGATAAAGAACAAAAAGAAAAGGAAAAAGAAAAGAAAGACAAAGATAAGGACAAGGATGAAAAGGAGAAAAGTTCATCAAGTAATTTCAGTTCAATTAATCTCATGCATATTAGTTTGGTGTGAATGGTGAATGAAGGAATTTGGTAATTATTTTATAGTTGTTTATGTTGTCACTGTACCATACTATTGTATTAGTTGCCACAGTAGTGTTTATTTGATTTCAAGATAGTATGAATTAAAATCTTTAGGTGTTTTAAGCAGTCTTTTGATAGACACTCTGGTGTATTTTACTATGGTCCTGCCATAATTATTGCCTGTTTTTGCATCGGCGAGAGAGTATGGCTGCTGCAGACATTTTTTTTACAAATAATTGCTTTTAAAAGGGGACCAAATGAATATAAGTGTTTAGATGTAAAAGTGTCTCTTCATATGTTTTTATTCGCTTTGTTCACAAATGCAAGATAATCATTTACAGAGCTCATTTGCTTTTCCATTCATTTAAGTGAGCAAGAAAAAGACAATTGTGAGGCATCGTGGTACAATCAGGTGCTTGTCAAAAAAAATGAAATCGAAGATATCAGCAGTTGTCCACCACTTTGACCAGGTTTTTTTTATTTCCATTTTTTAAAACATTTCTGTTTGGATTTTGCTGGAAACGTTGATTATAGACACAACAAGTGTAAAATTTTATTATCCAAGGACTCTCAAGCTTTAGAAATCTTCAAACATGGGCAGCCATTTTCTCGCTAATTTTACCTCTGAAATCAGATTACCCCCACCTTAAACTTCTATTCAAGATAGATGTGCGTTTTTTTAATCGAAAGATGGTCAAATGAAAATGCTTTAAATTGATAATAATAACTTCACATGTCCATTAATTGACGAGCGCCTGATTCTATCACATCGTGACACAATTATGTTCTTTATACACATCTTTATTCTGTAGACATCTAATGAGCTTTAGATAGAAGTTGACATACATGAATCAAGATTTAAACTGAATAGTTTCAGAGTTTAGGAATAAACACAGTCCTTTTTCAGAGTAGTGGGTCACTTAGGCCTATGCTGTTTATTCTTTTATCTTTTGAATGCTTAAGTTTTGTTTTATGAAGATTGTGTATGTTCATCAACGTGCTTCATTTTTAGGCTCTACCCCTACCTCAGCGTCTGCACCCAGCCAAGATTCCAATAGCTCCACACAAGCATCTTCGACACAAGGTGAACCCAAAAGGAAACGAGTACGGCTTGATAACACCGTAGAATCTGTGAGTATTGTTGCCCATTTAAGACTTGTTTAGATCAGCTTGTTCTTTATGCAATTGTATTTCAAAAGCTTTGAAAAAAAAATGTAATTATAGATGTTTTACTTCCCCATCGAAACAATTTTAATAATTTAGGAGATGGGCTTCTTCAACCCTGCCTGTTAGGGCCAACCCAGGTTGAGATGGGTACAACATCCCACAATAAAGAGAGACACGGTCAATGAAAAAAAGCCTCCCCGAACAGGAATTGACCTCACGTCTTCTGCATGGGATGGCAAATTACCTAGCTACAACACCACAGATGCTTGTCAAAATTTTTTGTGCTAGAGCATATTGTGATTTAAAACAGGCTCTGACTCATTTTAGATCTACGAATTCCTCAAAGCATAGAATAGTGTTTTAAAGACTAATTGTTTGTATAAAAGTATCAAAAAGTTGAAATTCAAGGGAGACTAATTTTTTGCACGTTCAATGTTCACTTTTTGTGTTCCTTTATATCAGTATGCAACACCAGCTCAATGTGTAGTGTTTTTGACATTTCCCCATCTTACAATGATATATTTCATTCCTGCCTTACCTTGTCTTCTTTTATAACCTAAAACCTTGATGTTTATTATAAAATAAAGACTTGAAAGAGGTTTTCTGCAATAATAATATAATATTTAAGATCCCTTATTATAAGAGTTGCTATCTTGTTTCCTATAATACTTATATTCTTGTGATCTATTTTTTCAGGAGGAAACATATCTGTCAAAGATTGAAGTGAAAATCAAAATCCCAGACGATTTGAAACCTGTTTTAGTTGATGACTGGGATCTGATCACAAGGCAGAAAATGGTAAAGTCTTATTGTGGTATTTCCCAATGCATCAGTGAAATTGTAAGTAGGTTGATGTTCAAGCCACTAACAGTTTGACAGTGTATGCGTACTATCTTCTGAAAATTGTCTTTTTGCTTCGAGTGCCAGTGACCCTTTGAATAGAGTGAAAATGTTGTTTGTACAGAGATGTAACATTTTCCTGGGGTTTAGTGATGCTCTACAATCATCGTCAGTTTTTCTGTTTGTAATTTACTTCTCTTGACATTGCACTTTAAAAAATAAAAAGGAAAGCAAAGCTGAAAAGAACCTGATGTGACAGATGTGTCCGTTTTCTGGTTGTAATGTACAAAAGCTTTCACTTATTATAGCTGTTGTCTTTGACATTGTGTCTATTTTCTTTCTTCCAACAAGCTTGTTAATCTGCCCTGCAAAATGACTGTAGATGATATTATTGAGGACTTCATCAAGAGCAAATCGACAAAAAATTCCAATGTTAACAAGTAAGTTTCTGATTTTTTACCTCTGCTTTTTTTTTTCTGATGGTTGTTCTATACTGGATTCAGAAGGTTTGTTATTGTCTGTTGTTTAGTCTTCTTCATATCATATTTTGACCTCCTCTAAAATTTGTATAAATTTATTTGCAGAATTTCTTCTTCCAGTTCCTTTCTGAATGTTATAAGTACCATAGCCTTTGGTTTTTGTCTTAATTGAACTGTGTACTTAAATGGCTGAAAAAATATTACTTCTTTCATGAAAAATGTTTATTCTTCAAGTAAATGTTTCTTTGGTAGTTTATCATCTCTGTTCCTTTGAACTTGAACTGAAGGCTGGCGCCACTGCACTATGACTTGCACCTATATCGTTGTCTGGCTGCAGAGATGTGAAATTATAACACTGAACGAGGTTGTGGACAAATGAAATAATAGATGTTTTTATTTCTCTGGATCATGTGTGAAAACATTTTAAATTGCAGCTGTCTGAACTTGTTCTTTCTGTTCACTTGTCCCAGTGAAGTTAATCATTCATCACTGATGAGACGGGTGTCTTGGAAAGTAATTTTTTTTTCAAAACTTTTAATGTGGTTGCTGCTTTTGCAGATTTTGAAATATACAAATATGTTTATTGTATGTGAATATATATGAGATTTTGCTACAGTATAGAAATCCGTTCCCATAGGGTCATTTGAAGAGCCAACGAGGGTGGGTGGTGGGGGGCTTTCTTTTAGTTATGGTTTATGGTTTAACTAAAATGGGGGATGGAGTCATCTAAATTATAGAAAACAGATGAAGGCGAAAACAGTGAAAATCAAAATATCATGTTTTTGCTCAGAGGAAGGGTCAACATCCTTTTCCTTCTCTGGGCGCTGTTGGGGGGTCCTTTAGCTTCTTAACTTTCAACAGGCTTTTTTGCTATATATGCAGTTATCTGGCCAGGGAGAGTCAATATTACTGCCATCGCCTTCGAGTAAAATATGTATATTTTCTGCCTGACAATATTGAAATAATTGCTTGTATATTTAACAGGTGCAGAATAGCTGTCTACAGACCAGTAGCTCAAAATTAAGGGGCAATGATCGCTCAAAGAAAACATTTATAACACATGCACAGTGAGAGAAGTAAATGTTTTAGTAAGGTTTTACGAAGTAAATGACCAAACTTTTTTTTTTCACAGAGATGCCATGATAGAAACAATGTCTGGCTGCAAAGATTACTTCAATGTCATGCTGGGCACACAGCTGCTGTATAAATTTGAAAGACCACAATATGGAGTGGTAGGTTCAAGCTTGAACAAAATATTATTTAAGAACTAGACTACTGTAACAGAAGAATGATTTTAATCTCTTTTTCGTGTGTTTTAAAAAAAAACACATTTTTGCTTAATAAAACCATGTAATAAATCATGCTTTGTTGCCGCCTAGAATGTGTAAAATTCTTCGTATGTTTTCTATAAATGACAAGATTTTGTGCCTTGTCTCTTGTGTTTTGTAGGTCAATTTGTATGTCATTTATGGTTATTGCAGGGAGTAAGTTCTTTCTGACATTGTTTCTATTTTTAGGGTGTACTTGATACAAGTCAATAGTAAAAGTTTGAAAACTAAAGGAATATAGGTCGTTGTTCCAAACGGGACAATACTGCATTCTCCTTTAATAAAGATTTATTCTTAATTGTTGACTTTCATTGGAAAATTGTGTAGGTCAGTTGATTATGGTTTATATGTTGGGACAGAATAAATATGTGTGTACACTGGACTAGATATTTTAGTAAATTTGGAAGTCTAATCTGTAAGTTTCAGTTGTCATTGGCAGAATAGCAAGGACAAGGTGAAGTTTGATTCGGAAATGTTTTATTGTTACACGTTTCTACCTTTGTGATCTTGTAATGGAGAGGCAAATGAAAGGACATATAAGGGAGAAATGTCAGACATTTTTGCAATTTTTTTCCCCTGTTTTTCATTTCATTTGCCGCTCCATAAAGATACTTTAGTGCAATGGGAGGATGACTTTCCCAATTCAGTGCCCAGGGGTGCAAGAAAAAAGTCTTCCTCAACTTGCAGTTTTTCCTTTCTTTTGGAAATTGCTGACCCAGGTAATTTATTTTATTATTCCTGTGGTCCTCAGATTCGGGCAGAGAATCCAGACAAACCCATGTCAAGCATATATGGAGCTATCCACTTCCTCAGGTTATTTGGTGAGTGATGTACCCATATTTAACTTTTTAATCAGTGTTTTTTATATGTTGACAGTTGATTAAGAACACAGAAATGGCACGTTTTGAATTGCCCTCTCCATTATATATATGTTCTCTCTGAATAGATAGTCAGATTGAGATTTAACCTCAGATCTTGACTGGAAAGGACCCATGCCAGCATTTTGTATAAATCGTTTTGAATGTACGTTTAAATTCAGATCAACACTTTACTTTAACACTACCCACCCATGCGGCGCGCACAACACGTAACACTTATCCCCACGGACCAGGATACAGGTGCGGTACACGCTATATCACACCGTTGCCGATCGGCGTACCGTATGGGCAAAGTGTTAAAGAAGCTTTACCCTTTGAGCTCAGTGTGGATTAAAATGAGTTATTATTGTTGTCGGGACAGTGTAACTGTTCAGATCCCCACCTCGTCCAAATGTCCCAGTATCTATCCATATTTGAGTTTGAATTAGATGAATGGAGGTTTTTGGAGGAGTCTTCAAGGACCTCTGTTACTGTCTAATATATGTTATTGCTGATTCCACTGAAGTGACCAATTGATGTTAAGATAGGCGTTAAATGTACCCAAAATACGACAAATTGTGTTAGTAGAAGGGTCATCAATAAGAAAGCTATGCATTGATGATTATGTTTCTCTTCAAAAGTAAACACTTTGTGTTTTACGATGAATACCTTCTCTGACAGACCCTGTGTCTTTCCAAAACATTCATAACTTTCTGGGAAACATTGATACACATTACCATTTATTCAGTGACAAGGTCTTTCACTAATGTTCTTAGCCAGGCGCTAGTTCCCACCTGGGTAGCATGGTGACAGTTTGTGTAAATATCTTTCCTTAGTACTTTGTCGGACTTAGACTGGTATTCCGACCTGTGACAGTGTGGTTGCAAATCCAGCTGCATAATCACTGGGCTGTCAGTACCATTTGCATCATTATTGTTCTCTTTTTAACATTTTTACAAGGTTTTAGTAGCTTTAAAAATTGTTGTTTTGTTTTTCACATAACTTATAATGGATGCACATTTATTTGCGCTAGATTAAAGTAAAATTCTTTTTACGTATTTTTTCTCGCCCCTTTTGATATTTGTAGCATCTGACGATATTATGGAGGTGACTTGTGTTTAATATATTTACATGTTGTCATTTTTGATATTGTTTTTATGTTATTCTCACTTCCTTTCTTTTATGATTAGTTCGCCTTGGTGCTATGCTAGCCTACACCTCACTGGATGAGCGGACTGTTCACATTCTGTTGGGTCATGTTCACGATTTCCTCAAGTAAGTTCCTTTGTACCTTTTGTTAATTATCATTTCCTTGTGTTTTGTTTGATCCACTTTTGAATGCCTCTCTAGAAACCAAATAGGTGTTTCTGAAGACAGATTTTGTTGGATCCCTTTATATGCCTTTTTAGTTGAGAGGATTCCTCTTTGAAGAAGAGTATAAAACTTTCTGTGTGCTACTTCAAACCCCAACCATCCACTTGCAAAAAAAGGTGTGCAGTACTTTGTTACTCACTCGAATACCACTAATCTGGTCCCTTTTCACAGGGTAAAAATATAAACCCACGGCTCCTGATGTTTTCTTTAATGTGTCCTCATTATTTTCTTTCCCTCTTTCTTCACTCTTCTGTACTCTTTCGGCTGAGTCAAGTGCTGTCTGCTTTTAAATTGAATGATTTGTGTCAAGTGGAATGATACACCTAAACACACTCACCTTTCACACAAACCCCCCCAGTCAAATGTGGTTGTCTGACTTTCAGGGGATGTAGTGTAGCTTGTTTTTCCTTGGTGTCGGTCATAATGGGTTTATGTCCCTTATAGTTTTGAGAATTGGGAAATCAGACAACTTGTCCTTACAGGTTATGATTTATGTTTCTCGTCTTCAAAAAGATTTTAACAGAGAGGTTGTAGAGTGATATGGGTAAAAATAATGGAATTGACACAAGAGGAGGTGCCTGTGTGATTAATACGAATGCTATAATTACAGTAAGGGAAGGCTGATCATTTGTCCCCTCCCCCCAAATCAAAATGTAAAAATGTGCCCCCTTGAAAAATTGCAATAACATGGATAAACATCTGTTTTTGTATTTAGAGAATGAAGTTTGTCCTACTTAAGGCTCTTTGCAAGTGCAAGGACAGATATGTTAATTGCAGTGCTATTATTTGTGGGCGAAAATGGGTTGTTGTTTTTTTTTGTGTGTGTTTTTTATACTGAATTGTGCCTTATAAATGTTTCCCATGACATTTGTTCTGTATCATAAGGACACTGTCCAAGGTGACTACCTGTTTAAGAAGACCATTTTTCTCCTCAACAATAGGTAATTGACTTGGACGGGTGTGACTGTAATTTGGACTGTAATTGTCAAAAGTAGTTCCTTAAGTTTTCTTTGTCTTTCACTTTTATATATATGCTTTTGTTTCAACCAGCTTACTAGACAGACAGATGCACCTAAAAAAAGTTATAGTCAAACCTGCTCTAAGGGCGAAAACATAGAGAACGCCGATTTCGGAGACTGACTCAGTAAGCGCCGATAGGTATAAAAATTCCCTTATGATTTCCAACTTGCCCCACATAGAGCTGGCCGACTGCAGGCGGCTTTAAACTCGGATCGGAGTTGTCGGCTTTATCGGAATCCAAACTACATTCTTATTACGCCGAAAAACTGGGAAGGGTGTCTCGCTGTCAACTCACCACCGCAGTGCTTTCTTGTCGTATTTCCATTTTTTAACAGTGAAAATGAGACTTCTTCTTTAAGTCACATTTTGTTATGAACTGTTTTCACTGTTATTGAAAATGGAGGTATGACAAGAAAGCACCGAGGTCGCGAACTCCCAATGCCGTCTCGCCATCGCCAACTCGGGTTCAGCGGTTTGTGTGACGTCACCCGACTGGACTGGGGACAATTTTAAATGGTCATTTCAGAGCTGGTGCTTCACGGTAGACAAAAACTAATTACATTTTTGAAATCAGCATTGTCAAAATAGGGTGATCATAGAGCAGAATTGCATTTTAAGCAATATTTAAGAAAATTCGTGTTTTTTTTCCCCAAAATATTATGCTTCATGAATACCAGCTGTGTTGTGGTGTAATTAATTTTAATTTTTTTCTTAGATCTAGAATCAAGATCTAGATATCTCGGCTTTACTGTGTCAGTAGAGTGTGATTTTGAAGAGACGAGGCCTGTGTAGTTTTTCGTTGCTCGTGTAGAGATCTGCTTATCTGGCTGTGTCGTGTCTTGTCAAAATGGATGTCGATTTACAACAACAGTAATAATAATAATAATAATAATAATAATAATAATAATGAAGATCATTTCTATAGCGCCCACTCCCGTGTAAACACAGCTCTAGGCGCTTTACATAAAAATACATGTACGAACAATATTCACGTACGCGACACAAACACAAAAATACACACACTCATACACACACACAAACACACACACATACACACACACAAACACACACATACACACTCACGAACACATAACATGCACACATGTTTTTTCTTAGAAAGCTAAAGTATTTTAAAGTTGATAAAACATTGATGTCCATGTTCTACCATTCAACCATGGAAAGTATTATCGATTTTTGTATAACAGCATGGGCCGTGAACACAAGACAACAAGATAAAGAAAAATTAAATCGACTAATACGGAAAGCATGTAAAATTTCAACATCTTCATTTCCCTACTTGGATGAATTGTACATAACAGCTTGCACTAAGAAAATTAATTCCATCTTTTTAGACAACAAACATCCCTTGTTCCCTCAAATAAAAATATCAGTCAGAAGTAAAAGACCCATGCTTCTGATCTGTAACAAAGAAAGATACAGAAGGTCATTTTTACCATCATCTATCAAAATGCTTCCATCTTAACCATCTATCTTGTTTAGTGTACTTACGACCTTAGAGCATGCATCAAAATAACATTGAGTGTGTATCTAGCTTACGATTATTATTGTTTATGCTGCTGCTCATTTATATTATGTATGTGATTGTAAGCCTACTTGTGTGTGCATGTGCGTGCACGTGTGTACGTGTGTGTTTGTGTGTGTGTGTGTGTGCGTGCGCGTGCGCGTGTGTGTGCGTGTGTGTGTGTGTGTACTCGTGGTGGAACACCAAACCAATGTGCCAGGATCTGGACAATAAAGATGTATCTTATCTTATCTTATCTTATGTGCACACACATGTACGCCAAACACACACACACACACACGCATGCACACACGCATACTTGCTTATCACACGCGCAAGGGGGGGGGGGGGGGGGCTCTCGAGGCCTAGAGGTTAAGGTGTTCTCCTCTCACTCAAAGGTCCCGGGTTCGAATCCGGGTAGCGACCAAAAAATTTTTTTTGCTCTAAATTTGTCTCCTTTCACCTACTCTCCAGCAAATTTCTGTCATCTGCTTTCGTCTCCTCTTTCTGCCCCCCACCCCTTCACCTCCTTTGCCCCCTCCTCTGGGCTCCTGATTCTTTCTGCAGCCTTTCTACTGCTACTCATTGGCTTCTTCTTACTGCTGTCTTTCAGCCACACCCCTGATCTTCTGGTAGGAAAGATCTACACCAGCCTTTTCGGACAAGGGCGAAAAATCTCGGAGGTCCCGTGTGCAAGTTGCGCACGTTAAAGATCCCTTGGTGGTCTAAAATCGATAAGAGCAGGCTTCGCCCGCCACCCGGGCAAAATTCAAAATTTCCTACCAACTGAAAAAGTTTAGTGTGTCCCGCGCGCTCATATGACCTTATGCAGTTGCGAGCGCCGTAAAACACTTACAAAAAAAAATAAACAACACGCGCACGCTTACACGTCATCACGAAATGAGCATAAAATAATCTACACAATGCAATTCACAAAATACATAAATGGATACATAGTCATTTACATAACATTGTATTGAAACTGAATCTACAGACAAAAAAAGATGCCATTAAACGTGTCTTTAAAGATTTTTAAAAATTTATGGTTGGGGAAGAGAGTTCCAAACTGACGGAGCAAGGTGGGCGAACGATCTTTCAGCTAATTTTTTACCCCCTTTTCTAGGAACTCTTAAAAGATACTGATCGCCTGATCTTAGTGATCTAGATGGAACATACATCTGGATGAGATCACTAAGATATAAGGGAGCTTTGTTATTGACACATTTATGACATAATATTGCAATTTTATATGACATTCTACCGGACACGGGAAGATAATCTGTCTCCTCTCTCTCTCCCTCCCTCTCACCCTCTCCCTCCCTCCCTCCCTCTCCCCCCTCTCCTCCTCTCCCCCTCCCCCTCTCGGATGACGAGTCCATTCTTGTAAATTTGTAATCACTCAAGACCTAGAACTAGATTCTAGATACGGTAGATGTAGGCAGACTAGACAACAGTAGATCAATGCAACGCGAGCCTAAAGGGATCGGCAATAGGCGCCCTCTATGTGGAGTCAAGCAGACACCGACTGGCGCCTGTCCGAGTCGATCTTCAGCCGCTTAAGTTTCGGCTTTCTTTATGTTATCGCCCTAGCGGTCTACTGTCCAAGACAATCACCTGTAAACTAACCACTTCCCTCTTCCCCCCTTGTGTTTTTTTTTCCTATATATCTTAATGACACTGTCTAAGATATCCACTTGCCTAAGACAACCACTTTTTTACTCGACAGTGGGTGGCCGTCATGGACAATTTCATCTGTATTTTCTATATTTTTAAGTTGTGCTTGATTCAGATGTGTTTACTCTTTCTTCAACAGGTACCTGTCGAAAAATGGACCAAATTACTTCAAGATCTCAAACTATGAAATAGCTACACCAGACTATCACAGAAAGGCAATATAGTTGACAGGGACTCTCTGTATTTTGTCTTAAAGACTGAAGCGAGCTTAGCTTGTGCTGAGTTCATCATTTTGTTGACCTTTCTTAATACTTTCTAGGTTACTTTAGTGTCTTTTCACGAAGGGTATTTTCTTTATCAGAAAGGACTCATGATTCTATTTAACTGTACTTATGAGATAAGTTTGCTTAGTTTTTTACTTGGCTTTTGTTATTTAACTTTTGAGTTTGAATTTATGAGCTTTTTGTTTTTTAAGGTTAATTAGGATGTTACTTTCTTTTTCCCATAGTCACAAGGTTGGGTGGGAAATGGTAAAGTGGTATTTGACAGGGATATAATTACAGATGTTCAGAGTTTGATTTAAATAAAGTCAACAAACTGCAAGTTTCAAAATATTGCAGGGAAGTTCTATTTTGAGCCAGAGGTTGCTTTTGGTGTTGTGTGAATGGATGCGTGCTATGCTTAATGTCTTGTTCTACATGATGTGTTTATCTGAGTTTTGAATAGGAGAGAGTGCTTTTTTTTGGGGGGGGGGGGGGGAGTGCATGAGTGAAGGTTTTATATTCTTTAATGAAATAAAATTACATGTTGAAAGTCATTTCTGAATACTGTTTTCCTTCAAATAAAGGAAGATTTATCTTGAAATTTCTATTGTCCGTCCTTCTCCCCCTACTCTCCCCTGCACACCCTCTCCCAATTTCTGATAGTATTGATAGCGAGTCATTTAGTTCAGTATTCAGGCTGCTTGGACCTTCTTTGCAAAGAGGTCAGGGTGCCACAATTCTGAAGAAAGATGAAGATTCTTCTTAAAATAGACTTCTCTGCATTGAGAACTGATATCTTTTGCATTTTATGGCAAAAAGCTGAACTAGCAGGCAGCAAAGAAATGTTTATTCCCATCGTTACTTAAAAATGCTACAGCTTGAGACATTAACTTTTGCTTCAATCATATGGTCACTTCCCATTCGTGACAGTCATCATATGTATATACAGTAGAGTCTACTTTAAGTTAAACTTCTAACTGAAATCTGCTGCACCACAGGATCGTCTTTGGTTTAGCCTGGTTTTTGGTTCAGAGATGTGTCTACTGTGCCTGAACTACAACAGAGAACTGCTGCTTTTTCTTTCCAAATCCTTACTATCGTCATTTTCCTCTTCTTCTTTTGTACAGTGGAACTCTGATTCAACGAGAACTGGGATTCCACGAGATGAGATTCCCTGTTTTTTTCTTCTTTAAAACCAATAAAAATAACCGGGATTCAACGAGCACTAAAATCAGCGAGCTCGGATTCAACGAGGTCGCTTCCAGGGTAAACAGCCCCCGCAGACGTGGCGTCGCTAATTTTTCTCCCAGAACGAACTTTATCTATTCCCGGAAACCATCCATTGCACCTTCCTGCATTGTGAACCTTTATTCACTTAGCCGATTGCATGTGACCAATCAGCGGCCTTTTTTCATACGAGATTGAGTCGATTGACGCGCACGTGTCTACTCTGGCGTGTGTTAGGGTCGGATGGGCAGCCTGCACACGTGTGGCTGTGTGTGCGTGTCGGGGGAGGGGGCTCTAGCGGACCGGGCGTTGGACGTCACAGAGATACAAATGCGTCACAGTCTCCCCCCCCCCCCTCGGCAACTGATCACTATTACAACGATAAGCTAGTCTTGACGTAGATCTGCATAATGAATTGTGTGCTGGTCTATGGAATCAAAAGTTGCCGTATGCTGGGCTCTACACAGCAACACAACTTTTTGGTAAACAATCGAGATGACTCAGCAGGCGTGTGCATTTGAACGAATCGGGTCTTTTTACACAGCTCATAATATGCGGGCATTTCAGGCACTACGTGTGGCTTCTCTTTATTCATTACTTGCTTAGTGCCTGTAATTATCTACACAATTCCTCACGTTTGCTATAACGAACACTCGGAATCAACAAGATTTTAGGTCTGGCCGGCGACCTCGTTGAATCCGAGTTCCCCTGTATGTTTGTCACACTCTTGTGACCCGTTATTTCCGGGTTGTCTTGATAGTTAAAGTGAACTTTGTGCTCTTGAAGCTAGAGAGGTGAGCAGAGTAAGTCTGATTCTGTGTAAGGATTTCTCTGTTGACATCCACCCTTTGGCGCTCATATGACCTTATGCAGTTGTGAGTGCCGTAAAACCTCTACTAAAAAAAAAAAGAGATGTTTCTCAAACAGAAGAAGAAAATATTTTTTTTCACTGTTTGGATTAACCGTGGTCAGTTTAAATGGACTCCACTGTAGTTCCACAATTTTTTATTTCTTTTACCGAAGAAATGTTTTCAACTTGAGGACTGTATTTATCAATCTAATCCTAATCACTGACGTATATTCTTACTGCAACCTGTTGGTCCTCATACATGCTTTAACAATGCTGTCACCCTCATACTCTCCTCCCTCTTTCTTGACATTCTTCTGCTTTTATTCCATTATATATCCATCCTTGTGTCATCCTCCTTTTCCGCCTCAGCTCTCCTTTCTTCGTTTTTTTTTAGTATTCTTCCCATTTTTCTTCTTCCCCTTCCTACTCCCGCTTCCTCCTCCTACTCTGTCCTCCTTGCCCCACTCCTTATTTCTCCTGTTTTACCTCTTACTCACTCATTCTTCCTGATCCTGTGTTCCTCCCCACCCCCCCTCACCCACCCACACAACCTCTCATTCACCTGTCCTTCTCCCACACCCCTTGCCTCCTCCTTCCTCCCCTCACCCCCCCCCCCCCTCTTCTCTTTACTATTGTATTCTGTTTCTTTCCTTGCCCTCTTACTTCCAGCAATACACACACACATATACATACACACACTCACATACACACACACACACACACACACACACACACACACACACACACACACACACACACACAAAATCCGACGTAAATCGATTTTGTAGCGGAACGCTACGAAAACTTCGCCGGAGACATGGGAAATAATACATGTACGATAAGTTACATTACTGTTACATCCCTGGAAATGACCGAACAATATGTGGGTGACGACAACGGTAATACGTGGTGCCCTCATTACGGAAGGGATCGGCACGTGTTTGTTTTCAGTTTCAGGCGAGCGAGTCGGGCGAAAGACCCGATCCAGCTGTAATCAGCTGTAATGGGCACCCCATATTAGTATTAGACCTCCCTTTGGCCATTGCTGATTGTATGTACAGGGTTAACGCCCTTTTCGACACTTACGTTGTTATCTGTCCCCGTCGTTTTATGCAAGAAAAATTCTGAAATAATGCAAACTCAGCCCAAAAATGTGAAATTATGCAATTCTGTTAACTTTAACAAAGAATGATAAAGGAAAATAATTTAAAAAATTATGCAAAAAATGATCAAATTTTGCTAAATTATGCGAGGTGCATAAAACTACGGGGACAGTATTATAGAGGCGGGACCTCCGAATAAAAGTCCATCCCCGAAACGACCGAGTCGAATGGGCAGAGAGCCTGAAATTGAAAGTTAAAAAATTCCCCTATGAAACCCAAGTTAATAACGCCCAGTTGAGGATTCGAATCAAGGTCATCTGCTCCGTAATCCGGCATGAGACCAATTAACGGTGCACCCTTGACCTCATAGTATAGACAAGGAGACAGTGATCAATGAATTATTTTTTAAAAAGAGCCGTGAATGATATAATACTTATTAATTTGTCTTGTTGATCTACGTTCATGCATTTTGAGTTGATATTACATAAAGATTTTTAAGTTCAAAGCTTAAACGGTCTTTCCACACGAGGTCTGTAAAAAAAAAGAAAGTTATATAGTGCATCCTTAATAAAAGGCAACTAGTGCGAAAAGCTATGTCAATAATATATGATTATCTAATGCGCTAGTCGCTTGTACCCTCCGTATTATTTTGTACGTTTTATCAAAATCATTGTAGAGATGGATTACGAATATCCGATTTTGCGTTCCCTTCTGAAGTCTGGATCTTGTTATGTTAGCCAAAATTAAATAAGGAATTACTTTTTTTTTGCAGTACTCATATTATTGTATTTTTATCTTGTTTTTCAAACCTCCCCCCCTCCCCCCCCCCCCCCCCCCCCCGAGCATGAAGTTCATTTATCATAATTAATAACGTATTCCTTGGATTCTATGAGAGTTGGCAAGTGACTGTTCTATTATTGTGGTAATCATGGGCTTACACAGTGGCACAGATAGGTCACATGCGCTTGCTATTCTGAGCAAAAGATGGCCTTTGGTTGTTTTTCTGAGACATGTATAATAATTAGCAAAAGTGAATACATTGTCATGTCATTGTAAGCTTACAACTTACAATAGTATAGTAAACAGAACTCTATGGTACACTTGGCTTGGTTTTTTGTTGTTGACGAGTGATCTGGTGTCGTTTGCAATTTCTCTCTTATCAAATATCTATCATCCTTGTCTCTCCTCCTTCTTTTCTTTGTATGTTACTTTCTGGTAACACTTCTAACCTTCGGCACTTATGTGACTTATTAATTTATTGCACGTCCAGTAAAATTCCCACTAAAACTACTAAACTAAAAACACTTGTTGAGTAAAATTAAAATGTGGCCAACCATGCGGATGAAAAATTGCGGGTGGTTGGCGGGTGCTCTGGTGTGGTTTGCTCCTTCTTTCCTATCAGACGTCTATCGTCCTTTTCTCCTCTCCTTCTATTTTGTGCTTGTTACTCTCTTATAACACCTCTAATCTTCGGCACTTGTACGACCTTATTGAGTTGCAAGTGCCGTAAAACTCTTACTAATACAAAATACTAAAACTAAAAGATGAACAATTGGGGCCAGGACGTGAGGGTTGGCGGTGGGTTTGGTATGGTCCATTCCATTACCGTACTTCCTTTCAAAGGCCTTATATATTAATAATCTGTTCAAAGCAGATATCGCCGACGTCGTGTTGATTTGTTGGCCACCCAAGCGGACTTTCAAATCAGAGGAAGGTCTGGATTGCCAATTTTTTTTTTGGTATGTTTTTGTTTGGTTTTAGGTGCTTTTTTAAAACAGTTTTCAGTGATATCTCAATTCAGCTGGACGACTTTGGAGATGATAGTGGGTAAATGTTTTCTTTAAATTGACACACTTGACTTAGAACTTCTTGCTCTCACAGAAAAAAAAATGGAAGGCAAACAAGGCAGGGGCAGACCCAGAGCAACCTATTACTACATGTACTTGGAAAACCTTAACCTGTCCCCGTGGTTTTAGGCAAAAAAAAAATCTGAAATTATGCAAACTGAGCCCAAAAATGTGAAATCATGCGATTCTGTTAATTTTAACAAAGAATGATAACGGAAAATAATAAGAAATTATGCTAAAAATGGTCTAATTTTGCTGAATTATGCGGGGTGCATAAAACCACTGGGACAGCTTAAGAGATGTGGAAAGAGCAGGATGATATTTACTTGGAGAGAGAAAGAGAAAAAGAGCATCTGGGTGGTGGAATGAATAGAGAGCCATGGTTGCCGATGTCATTTTCAGATCTGACGCTGACATTAGTGGACTATCTTTGGTGATAATGATGGATATGTACATACCACATATTAATATAATGCATTCAACAACTGTATCACAATGCAATACT